ACAGTTTTATGGGTCAAAAGTAAATAATAAAACCTAACACAAAAATAAAACATTAATTCCAGCTACCATTTGTTGACAACCTATAAAACCTAGTATTTTGCATATATTATCTCTAATCCTTTTATCAACTCTGCAAATATTATCCCATTTACATTCAACAAACTGAGGCACTAAAGTTTTATACTGCATTTTCCTAGGAGCTCAATGCTTTTAAGCAGAGAAGCCAGGATTCTTACCCTTTTTCAGTATATTTCCAATAAGTAAGCTTTTTCAACAAAACACTACCTCATTAATAATGACCTATTATCTTAAAGTATTTACATAATGCTTAGTCATTTGCGGAAGCATAAAATTAAGATCAAAGTTACTATCTTTTTAAAATATGTAAATGACAAAATGACAAGTCCAGATTTAATTTTGATAGCTATTAAACTTAACTTTTAAAAGCACATATACCTGAAACTTCTCTACACTGACCTTCAGATTCAGATGGAGGGATAACCTTATGAAGGACAAAGTCCTGTAAGTATTACAGTAAAACCAGTTTCTTGGTGGAAAACTAAGATGAGTCATACAGTACAGTATTTTACACAGTTTGAAACCATCTTTTTCATGAACATTCTGATATTTCAATGGTGCCAATAAAAAGAGATCCCCCCCACCAATTTCAGAGAAAAATATTTATCAAAAACTGAAATCCTCAAAAAGTAATCCAAGAAGACTAATTTGAAGATAATTGATCTTATATCTTGAGATATAACACAAGGTATGTCACCAATATTAAATTCCTTTGGAATTCAAATATTCTGGGGGTGTTTGAATACCATCCAATTTTTATATATAAATTTTACTAGCCAAAGCTTCAGAAATGCCTACTTTCAAATCAGTTCTATTATGCATTTCTAAGGGCAAGTACCATGTCTTCTTTGTATCTCCAGCTTAGTATATGGTCATTATTCAATGAGTGATTCATTTAACCTTAGGATACTTCATTATTGTAAAGCAGCTGGAAAATATAAGTTATTTATCTTAATATTTATATCCCCCTGAAAGAATCCAGTGAACTCAATAATGAGCATGCAAATAAAATACTGAAACAGAAACCCAGATGACACTGGAAAACCAACTTCTCATGCATAATAACTAATTAAAAAATGATTATTGCTAAATATTCTACCTTTATCACATTTTAAAATTATGTGTAATTATCATTATGATGTGTTATATGTGATTACTAGATACAATCACTTAAATGTAGATTTAAATTTTCCACTGGGCTTTAAAAGTATTACCAAATACTTTAATTCAATCTAAAAAGGCATTGTATAATTCAGTTAAAACAATTATATTTTTCTTCTCAGATTAGAGTTAAAAAAAGGTTTATTCAGCCATATTATTAAGCAAATTACAACAAATTCTTGATAACAAAATTAATTGTTAACCTTCAAAAAGGAATTTGAATACTGAATTTTACTTTTACCCTGTGAGCCAGAGGCAAAAGAGATAAACCACATATGGCAATTAAAAATGCAACTCCAAATGACTAAGGTACGTTTCTATTGCTTTCTAGAAATAAAGGCTTCCTTATATGTCTAGTTATTTTTAGCACTCCACCACAAAGCTAACAGCTACTCTAGAAACTTGAAATTACCACCATACACAAGAAAAAAATAAATTCACTGAACTAAAAAAAGAAAAATCTGATCACATTCTCAAACCTAATGCCCCTCTCTAACTTCTGTGCTTGCAATGACTAGTTTATTCTAAAATCAATCCATGCCATGTTTTTCTTACTGCTTACTATTCCTTTTTTTAAATGGGGGGAGGGCAGAGGGAGAGGGAGAGAAAAAAATTTTAAGCAAGCTCCATGCCCAGGGAGTGAGCTGTGAGCTGGAGGCAGGGCTTGATCTCACAACCCTGAGATCATGATCTGAGCCAATATCAAGAGTCAGATGCTTAACCAACTGAGCCACCCAAGGTGCGCCTTATTGCTTACTAGTCTCTTCTTCACTGCTAGGGGGAAACCTGAGAAATAAAATTCAGGAGATATTTAAATAATCTTATAGCAGAAGAGGCAAATATACCATTAGCCAGAGAAGAGTAAAACCTGAAAACTTTTAGGGGCACCTAGGTGGCTGCCTCTCTCCCTCTGCCCTTCCCTCTGCTTGTGCACTCTTGCTCTAAAATAAGTAAGTGAATCTTAGGGCGCCTGGGTGGCTCAGTTGGTTAAAATAAATAAGTGAATCTTAGGGCGCCTGGGTGGCTCAGTTGGTTAAAATAAATAAGTGAATCTTAAACAAAAAAAAACCTGAAAACTTTTATTTTTTTTTTTAAAGATTTTATTTGAGAGAGAGAGAGAGAATGAGAGAGAGAGCATGAGGGGGGGAGGGTCAGAGGGAGAAGCAGACTCCCCCCGAGCAGGGAGCCTGATGTGGCACTCGATCCCGGGACTCCAGAATCATGACCTGAGCCGAAGGCAGTCGCTTAACCAACTGAGCCACCCAGGCGCCCAAACCTGAAAACTTTTAAAAAGCATATTAGCTTCACTGCAGCGTCTGATTAATAACAACTAAATGCTTTCAATAACAACTTCTCTCAAGAAACCCAGGACCCTGACCTAAAAGGTTTTAGCTACCCATTTTCTACTGACTTACAAAGTATGTTCAGAAGCTTGTTTTCATTTCTTAATCATCAGTCTTGAAACAAAATATGAAACACTGCGTATCCTGATTCTTTCCTTTCTCAAAGGCAGTAATCCCTATCAAAACTGATCTAAAATAAAGCATTTATGTGATTAAGTCTATTTAAAGCTATTTAATATCAAGAATCACATCCAATGTATCTGTTTGAGCCATCAATACAGGTTTAACAAACTACCAGATACAGCAGCAGATACAACAGTGGCAATGTGGATGAAAGAAATGCCAAAGTTACATACTGAGAAGATATAGTAATGAGGTAAAATACTTTAATTTCAACTTTACCCATTAAATATTATTCCTCTCAGTTCTGCTCTGAACAGGGAAACCCAGATAATTAACACATTTGGGATAAACTCTAAAGGACTGAGATGCAGCTAAGAACTTAGCCTTACAGATTAATAATGACAGAAGTAAAAATGTTCCACAAAGCATTTTTATTTCAACTGGCAAAGAAAGGAAATAAAAGGAAGCAAGTGACTTCAAGTAATAAAAGGCAGAAAGCTGGTTTTTGGTAGTTTGTTTTGGCTACATTAGTCATAGAAGGTTTAAAATCCAAAGTCATTAGTCTCGTGTCACTTTTTTTTTTTAAAGATTTTATTTATTTATTTATTTATTTATTTATTTAAAAAGAGAGCATGTGAGAGAGAGAGTGCGCACCCACGAGCAGGGGGAGGGGGAGGGGTAGATGCAGAGAGAGAAGCAGGCTCCCCACCCAGCAGGTAGCCCAATGTAGAGCTCGATCCCACGATCCCAAGATCATGACCTGAGCTGAAGACAGACACTTAACCAACTGAGCGACCCAGGCACCTCCTCATGTCACTTTTAAAGTCTCAAAAACAACCCTATTCCTACCCACCGGCATCATTACAAATATATTAGTAACATGATGGAAGTAGGCAGGCAGAAGCCAAAGCCAAGTGTCAAAAAATTAAAAAACCTTGTGAGCCAGGCTTAGATAACAAGGAAAAGAGCAGCAGTAATTCTCTTCGTAGGTCATGGAAAGAGTAAATAGGTCCTTTTTATTCCTCTCCAAGCCACATACAAAGGAGGCACCTCTCCCCATTCCTTGATAACTAACCTCCATATTCTAATATATCCAAAGATTCTTTCCTCCTTTTCCTCCTTCCATCCATTTTCTTCCCTTCATTCCAATTCTAACCAATTTAGTTTTGTTGAATGACCCCTTTTCTCCCCCAAATTCCCTCATCTTGTTCCTTTTCCTTCTGGGTTTTTTTTTTTTTTAATCTGTTTACATATCTGGGTTTCTAATTCCACAATGAAGGAATATACACTGTGGTTAATCAAAGAAATTCTATGTTGAAATGGAAAAAACAACAATAACAACTGAATGTGGCCCTCTAATTTTCCCAATATAACATCTGCACAATACATACCTGTTTCCTAGTAATGCTGCCCCCCTCACTCATGAGAGCTGAAAAAAGTTCATTACTCACAAACAAGTTTACTCAAAAATAAGTTGATAACTGTTGAATATATGGAGTCATAGAGAACTATTATCTAAATCAGCACTTCCCAACATTTATTTCTTAAAGCAATAGTTCAACAAGGTGTTCCACAATAAAATAATGGTTTCATAGTCAAATCACAAATCACACTAGACTCTTAAAAGAATCTAAGAAATCCTGAAGTGAAGAAATTTAACTTTATTATCCAGCTTTTCCCAAACCTAAGTTAATGAGTCCCTTTTTTGACAACATTTATTAATACCTCACAGAACATGCATTTAGGAAATATTAATCCTAACCACTGATTAAAATATATCATGCAAAATATTATAAACTTATAATCTTAATGGTTCTCAAATGTGAGAACTTTTGAAAAGCTAAAAATGAATTTACATAGAAAATAATTACCTTGCTAGGTAAAAATGACTCACTTCAAATATCACAGGTATACTGACCTTACTGAGGTTCATTTAAGAATTAGACTTTAATCACCATTTGTGATTTTTTTTTTGAAGGGGAATGAAGAGCAAAATTTTCTTTAATGTCAAGTGTATGATATGAAATATAATATTCTACAAATATTAAGATATAAGACTATTGTCATTTCTCTATTTTCATGTTTGATCTTCTCAAGTGGGAGAAAAGAATGAGATTTTGTGACTTACAAAACCTAATTACTACAAAGGCATGTTACATATGAATTTATCAGAATATATGTTACACAATAATAAAAAATTTTAGTGAAAATGTGTCAATTTTCCCCTTAAGGTTAATTACCAATTATTTACTTCACAGGTTTTAAAGAGTATATTTCAAAGTACACACATTTTACCTGAAAGCTCCGTAAAGTGGTCTGTACCAACAGACAAATGAACAAGGAGTAAAAAGCAAGAACCACAGGATACTCAATCCAAAATCAACCCCTCTTGTAGGATCAACACAAAACCAAGCCAAGCATCCGAAGATATTTAGAAAGAGTGTTACAGCGTGGACTGTGGAATCAAAAAACAAAATAGAAATGTTTACATTCAATTTATGAATTCATTCAACAAAAATTGTAAATGAAAAAATTCTTCCTTAGAGCAAATGTATTCCACCCCTTGTTTCCAGTTAGGATCTTTCAAAAAACATTGCTGTTTCTTACACATTTGATTTGAAAACAGTATATACAGGAAAAAGAGTCCTAATATATGTACTGTTTGGGAACAATTCTTCTGGCCCTCTCCTAATGGACAATTACCAGAGAAGCACTGCCTTAAGGGATTCTTCCTTGAGAAGGAAACACGTGATATGCCTCCTGATCCAAGGCCCAGCCAGGGAAAGAACCAGGACTTTGGAGGAGAAAGATCCTACACTCTGAATTACATTTTTACAGAGTAGGCCAGCAGACTCCTCCCAGAGTAGACTATACAAGGAGAAGAAAACTGGAGAAGTGCCCTGTACAATCTCACTGTAACATTTTTAAGCAATTAATTAGAATCACTGAACTAAAAATACCAATACAGTAGCAATTTCAGGGACTGTATAGTCAATCTCTCAGGATTATTCATCTTCATAGTGTTATCATTTTTTAAAGTGCTGGGATAAATATGGTGTTTTGGTAAAGGATTAAACTTACTTTTAAAGAAGGGAAATAATGAATTTCAGCTGCTGTGGCAGACCTTTCTTTTAATTAACACAGTTAATGGAAAACTCTTCATATGTTGTTAATAATTACATATCCAGAAAGACCTAAAACAAAAAATCTGAGTACCATCTAACTATACTTTGATCCTAAAGAACTACATTTACCCATTATAATTAATAACTTTTTATTGGATTTTTAAAAAGTTTATTCACAGGCTGAATTAAAAGAAATATTTTTTTTCAAAAGTTAAAATAATGTTCATTGTAAATTAATACAAGAAAAATATACCAACAAACTACTACTTGAATTAAAAATAAATGAAAAACCTAGTAAATCCAAATACAAAAATCTCAACTTACCTTAAAAACTTTAAAATCTTTTCAACTTACTAAATAAAAATAGTAATTAACAAAATAAGATAAAGACATACATTATAAGGTGCCTTTAAATTTGCTTTAATGACTAGCTAAATATACAAACTCTAGAGTAAGAAAAGGGCACCAGAAGAAGAGTGAAAACACCTGGGTTATAGAGACATACTACTGAGCTAATCAACCTCTACATTTCAATTTTTCAGCTTCAATTTTTCAGCTATAGAAATACAGGAGCTCTTCCATGTTTAAAACTCCATACCATTCTATTACACAAAGAAGACTCTTTCTTATTAACTTTGTTACCATTAGGATTTCTAACTCTCACAAAAGCTAGCTTACTAATAAATTTACTCACAATCTTCTGTCTCAAAATAAAAGTTTTTGTCAATGGCTTAAAAACAGATTTCAAAAGACCATGAAATACAAAGTTATTATTTTTTAACATTAAATATCATCCAACTGCCTAAAAAAGTTTTATATATTCACATTACAATTCAAATTTCAGCCTTAAGAGAATTTTTAAAGGTTTATCTCCTAATTTGCCTAAGAAAATATGGATATGTGTATTTAAATTTCATTAAAAATTCTTCCAATTATTGATAAAAATTTCAATTTAATTTTGTGTAATCTATTAAAATTTCTTTCTAAATGTTTTCAGAGTAACCAAAAACCACGATCAACAAGTCATTTATTTGTACCCCAAAGAAAAGTAAAATGTCCAGGCCTACATACTAAACAATCAGTCCACTTATACACAAATCAAAAAATATATAGAAAGGCAAGGTAATGTGAAACACATGATTCTATGTTGCTAATTTCAACCCTTTCCAATCCACTTGGTGGATTCTAGGTGTACATATAACACTAAAGAAACTTTTAGGATATTTTGTTTACATGATTTGTAAGTTTTTAAGTTGAGTGATTCAACTTCATAGAAAATTTCCATATGCTTTATTAAGCACTTAAATCTGTTATTAGTGGACCTAAATTTGCAACTATCACTACAATATTCTTCTTGATAAGCTCTGCATTATAACACAGACACCTAACATAAACAGATTTTAAACAGTATAATTATCTTCTTCACTAATTGATCTTTAAATGGCTTGTTTTCCCTTTTTTTTTAAGAATATACTCAAAGAGGTTAAGATTCATTTCACAGTGATAGTTCTAATTGCTTCAGTTCCTTTATAGAGTATAATATTTATTTCAAGTAAGGTACCTTTGAAAGTATATCTTCATCTTATTTGGGTTTAAAACATAGATTACTTCTTCATTTTGGTACTTTGTAGGTTGTACAACATGGAAATCTAGACTCTGGGCTCTGGAGTCAAGCTATCCAACTCCAATCTAACTGTTATGTAGTCTTGAACAAGTTACTCCAATTCTCTAAGCTTTGGTTTCCTTATCTTAGGTAATATAATACCTGCTTTATAGTGTAGTTAGGAGTTAATAACATCATGTATATAAAGTGATTAGTACTATGCCTGGCACAAATAAATCCTCAATAAATACTCTCTTTCTTTAGAATTATTACTACAGTATGAAAGCACTCGTCAACTCTGAAATCATTAACAGGCAGACACTTCTTGAAAGTGACTTATTAAAAGAAGTGAAATTTAGAAACATCACTGAGCTGGTACTAGATCTTACTTTATTCCAGGTAATGCTTCCTTAAATACTGAGACCTCTTTAAATACTTTAAATAGGAGATCTGTCAACAGGATTTAGAAAAACTATATTCTAAAAACCACAGAAAGTTATATATTTATAAAACAAAACAGACCTATTTTGAAACAATTAGTACTAGTAAAGTACCATTCAATTAAAATTAATCACCTTTCCCATTCAACCTCTATTTACTAAATTCCTTATAGAATTTTCTTCCAGCCCCCTATCTCCCCCATCCAAAATATGTTTTTCCACTAGATCAAAGAACTTATACTTAAAATGCTAGGCCAGGTCTGCCCATTAAAAAATAATTGTTATATACTGCATATATTATATATTGATTAAATAAAATATATGGGTTGTTTACATGACATATATAAAATCAAAACCTTTAATGTTAAAAGTATATAATACTGCCTACACTGGAGATTTAGCAAGATACTAGCTCAACAACAAAATCTCAAAGAAAAACTAAAGAGTTAAGAATGTACTATCCATAAGGAATTACTACTCACATTCCAAAGTAACTTCACATACGAAGAATGCTCTAAAAAGATTTTGAGGAAAACTGTCTCATTTATTTAGGAAGGGAAAAAACGGCTCCCCAATTATACAGTAACACACATAAATTTCCTCCATCAAGAATGTACACTACAAAATCTCCATTAAACCCAGCAGTTATGCAGGTAAGAAGTCATGACAGCTACACCTCTCCTACTAACATAATAACATTAAAAGGGGCTGAGACTACTGTTTGGAATAAAAGTGAAACAGAATAAGTGGAAATTCTGTGTACCTAGAACAAACTGTTAACAGCTTGACATTTTACTTTAGTTATTACATGAGCTGTAATTATACTCAACACAACGTAAGCACCACAGCCTAAATATATGTCCTAATGTTCTATTTAGTAAAATATCCTACATTAACTAGGACTTCCAATAATAAAAGTACTTAACAACCCCTTGAAAATGAAAAGTAAATTGTGCTCAAAGCTCTAAGAAAAATTATAGTAATATTTTATGGCCCTTTTAAAAAGTCATAATGCTTTAAACAGCCTTCATTTAGTATAATTTTTTCAAAACAAGTATTACCTAGATAGTATTTTACAACTATTCCTTTTTCCTCAAAAAAATACTATATATGTGACAGAGAAGTCCTTTCCTCAAAAGAATGCCAGTTTTCATATATGCTTTCCTCAGTTTAGATTGTCACATACAGTATAATTTTGCAATACCGAAATATGTTTCACTCTGAAAATTAAGAGCTATACCAAAAAACCTATCTGTGATACTATCCTTAATATCTGAATTCCAAAAAGGGTGTTTATTTTTGACAATAAAACATAAACTCTGTTGAATATACAATTTATTTTATACTCACACATCCACAAGTAGTACATAATCTTTACTGTCTTCTGGAATTCTACAGGAATGTCTACAGAAAAATCCTGATAAAAACAAGGTCCCACAGGAAAATTGCCAGGGAGAGGTGGCCAATTATTTTTTCTGCCTGCAAATTTAAAAAAAAAAATTATATTAGGACCAAGATGTGCTATTCTTATTTTTGGTTTCATAATAAAGAACATTATTTGTTCTTTTAATAGATGTTTTATAAATTGAATGCTGCATCTCTACATTCCTATATTTGTACAGCTTTGAAAGCCAAGCTTTGCATTTTTAAAAATTTTCCCAAAGGGGGCGCCTGGATGACTCAGTCGTTAAGTGTCTGCCTTAGGCTCAGGTTATAATCCCAGATTCCCGGGATCAAGCCCCACATCTGATTCCCTGCTCCGCAGGAAGCCTGCTTCTCCCTCTCCCACTCCCCCTGCTTGTGTTCCCTTTCTCTGTCAAATAAATAAATCAAATCTTTAAAAAAATAAATTTTTTTTCCCAAAGTAGGGGCACATGGCTGGCTCAGTCAATAGAGCATGTGACTGTTGGATCTAGTGCTGTGGGTTCAAGTCCTGCATTGGGTGTAGAGATTACTTAAAAATAAATCTTAAAAAAAATGTTTTTTCCCCAGAGTTTCACTTTAGAAAACATTAGATGGTAAAATATTTTTCCAGTGTCATGTAATGTTTAGCAGGAACCATTTATGTACAGTTGATACAAGAAACAAAAAAAGAGCACAAAGACATACCCTGTGACTCTACCCTAAAAACAGACTTCTTTCTCAAAGTCCCAAGAGTCTGGCTGTCATGTGAAGGTCATGCAGTTTTTAAATATCTACGATTTCCTCTTCAGCATCTTAAGTCTTTGAATATAATTCCTAGCCCATGTGGAGAGGGAAGACCAGCTTCTGAATCTTTTGAGTTTTCTACTGTTAACTCCATAAAGAAACACACAGTTAACTAATACCAAAGAATCAAATCTGGAAATCCCAAAGTCTGAAAAAATAATATTCAAAATATCCATGTAAGAAAACCATAAAACTAGGAGAAAATATGAAACAGGAGAAGGAAGCTAAGGAATTATAATACCTTCAAAAACCTAGAGGAAAAATAAATTCAAACTATGAGGAGGGAAAATGTGTCTTTATAAAGAAATGAAACAGAAAATAGGGCTTGGGAAGTGGTGGGAGCAATAAAAACACTAAAATTAAAGCAAGAAGTCTAAACATTAAAAACAGAAGGTAAACACAACACCTAAAGGCCACTTCTCATTTTAGAAATTATATGCCACAATTTTTGAAAATTCAATTTTATGTACTTCATACAGGGGAGAAAATTTTACTGGAAAACAAGAATGACCTATGTCTGATTCTTCCCAACATGTCTGCGCTATTTATAATTCTTTCCAAATTTCATATTCATTTCTCATACAAGTCTCATACTATTTGAGAAGAGCAGAGAATAGCAAAGTAAGAACTAGAATCTGAAAACAGAAGTGCCTAGCAATTTTTTGGCTAGAGGGCGTTGGGTACCTTAAACTCTTGAAGACTTGGTAAAAGCTGAAGACATCTATAAAATCTTACGTTTCTTAATAAATTTAAGAGTAGAAATAACAAGAGAATAATAACTATACCACCCTTCAGGGAATTATAATTAAATGAGTTAATAGATAATAAGTACTTACATGTGTAACATACTACAAAGTTAACTCTTAATTTCTCACTCTTCATTACTATCTTTACTAAAATATCTCCCATAGAAATAACTTATATTAGTCAATACTAAGGATATAGGACAGATTTTATTACAGGTATTTCAGAAACACTGATCTCAAATAAATCCTTAGTTTCTCCTTTGACAGATGTTGTCTCTGATGTCACAAGCCAACAAAATGGCCAAGGATGAATGTGTCTTCACAAGGCCCTAGGCTTACACACTTTTTTTTAATAGTCTTTGAACATATAAATTTCATTTTTAGTTTTTATTTAAATTCCTTAGTTAACATACAGTCTAATACTAGTTTCAGGGGTACATTATAGTGGTTCAACACTTCTATACAATACCTGATGCTCATCACAGCAAGTGCCCTCCTTAACCCCCAACCCCACCCACCTCCCCTCTGGTAACCATCAGTTTGTTCTCTACAGTTGTTGTTGGTTTGCCTCTCTTTTTCCCCCTATGATTGTTGGTTTTGTTTCTTAAACTCCACATATGAGTGAAGTCATATGGTGTTTGTTTTTCTCCGACTTAGGCTTACACAATCTAAGATAAGGAAGAAATAGTTCAGTATATTATTGCTGACCTAGCTCTGTCACTCCATCACTATCCTAGACATAGTAACAATGATTTATCTAGCTCTTTAACCCCTTAGCCAGACACTGCTATCTTTCTCTAAGATAACGCCCTTGAAGTGGCCTTTGGTAGTCACAGTCTAAATGGATTTCATAGCAAATGATCAATTCAGTACTTATTTCTTTGGTATCATTGAGAAACCCGAGGCTTCCCAAAGTCATGCCACACATTTTTTTAATATGATTTGACAGGCATGTTATACTTCTGAAGACAGGGCACATAATTAGAAACAGGGCTAAATAAACAAAAAAGTAAGAGTCAAATTTAGGGCACACTCTTAAAGCTTCAATAGACTCAAAGAGGGCCCAAGTGCAGAATCAAAGGCTCCTGGCCAAACCCCAAAATTATCATGTTCACATTCACTTTCTGTGTGATAAGGCTAACACTGTTATAATCTATCGAAAGACTATGCAAATCAGCCAAGATCAGAGAGCTACAGAGTAACAAGTAGGAAATCTCCTGTCTGATCTTGCTAGAACAGGAAAAAATGGCATGGCTTTATCCATAAACCAAATGACTTAGAGCTAGCACAGGCATAATTTAAAGTGTTTAAGTTATTTTTATTTCAAACTTCTTTGGATACTACCATGTTGACTGAGATTTTGCATTTCTCGTTCTCGACGATCTAATTCTGCTGCTTTTCTTTCTAGTTCTTCTTGGCGTTTAAGAAGCTCAGCTTGGGCCAAAGCATGTTCCTTAAACAAACAAACAAAACATCAGTGAATGAATAGGTTGTCAGAGTTAGAAAATCTTGTAACACGACTATGCTCTTTACTCTCTCTCTCCCTCTACAATGCCAGAAACTTTTTTTTAAGTTTATTTACTTTTTAGTCATCTCTACACCCAATGTGAGGCTTAAACTCAGGACCCCAAGATCAAGAGTCATACAATGTCAGAATCTTAATTCAAATGCTCTGCCAAAATACAGGAATTCAGGGGCGCCTGGGTGGCTCAGTTGGTCATGGGGCTCCCTGCTCAGTGGGGAGCCTGCTTCTCCCTCTCCTCCCCACTCGTGATCTCTCTATCTCTGTTGCTATCTCTGTCTCTCTCTCTCAAATAAATAAATAAAATCTTAAAAAAAAAAATACAGGAATTCACTCTAGGTTACATCTTCAGAAGACATGGAGATACTTGACTGATTTTTGTTTGTTTTTAAGATTTTATTCATTTATTTTTCAAAGAGAGAGAAAGAGCACAAGCAGGGAGAGCAGCAGGCAGAGGGAGAAGCAGGCTCCCCACAGAGCAGGGAGGCTGATGCGGGGCTTGATCCCAGGACCCTGTGATCATGACCTGAGCTGAAGGCAGATGTTTAACTGACTGAGCCACCTAGGAATCCCTGATTTTGGTTTTTTTGGTTATGAAAACCATCAGTGAGAAGACTGGGCACATTTAGAACAGGACAAAATTCTCTCAGTAAGGGTAGTTAGAGTCCTAATTGGGAAAATAAAATTAAGGTGACCTCTGTGCCTAAATGAGAATGAAGAACAAAGGGAACAATTGAGGCAAAACAGACAAAGTGAGAAAATGACAACTGAACTGCCTCTTAAGAATTGGTTTGAATGGTGCCTAAGGTTTCCAATGCAAGAATATACAATATCTTCTATTTTAGAAGACAATGAGATGAAAGAAGGATATGATTCAGAAATTCTGGTTTGTAACTCCATCTGCCTTTATGTAATACAAGGCATCCTATTCATCTCCTTTATTCTCATATTTTTACCACCTGCTACTTCCTACCACTGTCCTTTGCTTAGCCATTACAACTCTTTTCCAATAGTTTATATTATCTTATCATTGGTACTATAATAGCATTGTGCATTAAAGAGTAAACCCAACAAAAGGCAACAAAAATTTCCCTAAAGAAATTGTTCCTCAAGAAGATATATGAATTCAGTAAAACTGCTAATAACAGTATAAAGTAAATATTATAAGCTGAAAAAGAACTGTATTATAGGGTTGACAAACTAGCTAACCCAGACTCAAAAGTAAGTTAAAAATTAAATAAAGCAGGGGTGCCTGGGTGGCTCAGCTGTTAAGCGTCTGCCTTCAGCTCAGGTCATGATCCCAGAGTCCTGGGATCGAGCCCCGCATCAGGCTCCCTGCTCCGTGGGAAGCCTGCTTCTCCCTCTCCCACTCCCCCTGCTTGTGTTCCCTCTCTCACTGTGTCTCTGTCAAATAAATAAATATATAAAATCTTAAAAAAAAATTAAATAAGGCAAAAAAAAAAAAAAGTAAGGCAACATATAAAGAATTCTTCTATTCTGAAGATGTTATTGATACTGTAATTTCCAGTACAAATTTACACACATAATATGAACTAACCTTTGCAATCTGTGTATAAGCTGGATGTTCCTCTGTTGGTTTCATTATTGCTGGTTGTGTACTGGGTACATTAGGCATTTTCACAGTGCCTGGTGGAGGCTAGGAAGATTAAGAAAAGGACAAATTATGTAACACAGAGATCCAATTTTAACTTCTTTCAAAAGGCCTAACCCTAACAAAAAGCAAAACGCCAGGAACGCTCTTCCTCCTCTAGTGTGTAGTAAAGTGCTGCTTCAGCTCTCCATCTCCATTTTCTCAAACTCACTCATTCCTCAACCCTCCAACTGGCTGCCACCTCTACCACTACACCACACACACTCTCCTCCAGGATGCCACGTGTAGAAACACAAAACAAAACCTTGAAGTATTGCTTTTTAGTAAAATACAGATAGTGCCAAACTGAAGAATTTACATCAAGGTTGTTAACTCTTTCCACCAAAGAAAGGTACGTGCCAGGGCCATAAAGTTAATAGGAGAGGTTGGCCGGGAAGATGGCAGAGTAGGAGGACCCTAAACTCGGCTCCTCCCACAGATACAACTAGGTAACACCCACAGCAGCGGAAATAACCCAGGAAACAGCCCAAGGGCTGCCAGAACGCACTCCACAGTGAAGGGCAGGAAGAGTCCACACCAAAGGAGGTATAAAGGGTGAGGACACAGTCTGGGAGCAAAAGGACCGCAGTCTGCCGCATCAGAGAAGAAGCCAACGGCAGAGAAGAGCAGCAGACAGATCTTCATACTAACTGGGAGGATGAATCTCCATATTTGCCTTTGAAATTTCATGAGTTCTTAAAACCAGCAGGACTTAAAACCTAGAGTTTTAAAAACCAGCATGCTCAGCTCTGGGTGAGCCCAGAAGGTGTTAGGAAACAGAGTCCCTCATCTTAAAGAGACAGCATGAAAAACAGCCTATGCAGATGCAGTGTAGAACCAGCAGTTCGAAAAATGCCACAGGCAGACAAGAAGGACAGAGATTTGCTCATCTCAGAGCACGGGCCTGGAAAGACAGGTATCATGGGAGACCCCTCCAGGAAAAATGAAGCTGGCACGTGACATTTTCCTCCCCTGCTCCCCAGCATAAATAACAGCCACCTGCGGAAACCGACACTGTGTGGGTGGCCACATGCTACTTAACCTGCTTACACCAAACCGAGCCCCGCCACATGTGCTTTGGCAGATCAGCCCTTCCCAGGCATGCTCCCCTGAGTTGTGGTGCTGTGGGGTCCCTCTCCGAGAAGACCACCCTGCCAATACCACATCTCCTGACCCACTTGTTTTGCAGGACTGCAGTTCCAGCAGTGGAAGGTATTGTTTCACAGGCAGACCACTGCACACCTTGCTACTCACAACAGGTAAAGACAGCATCAGCAAACAACTGGACTGAAGGGAGAAGATGCCAGAACTCAACAGCAGAGCACCTGCAACACACCCTGGGGAACAGGGACACTGCACTACAGGGCACTATAATACTTCTTCTTCAAAGACTACTATTGTTATGAGTAAGGTAAGTAGCTGACTTCTCTAACACAGAGAAACAGACACAGAAAGTCAAACAAAATGAGAAGACAGAGAAACATCTCCCAAATGAAAGAACAGGACCAAACCACAGCTAGAGACCAAAGCAAAATGGATATAAATAAGATGCCTGAAAGAAAAGTTAAAGTAATGATCACAAAGATACTCATTGGACTGGAGAAAAGAGTGGAGGACATCTGTGAGACCCTTAACAGAGAGATAAAAAAAGAACCAGAGGTCAAGAACACAATAAGTGAAATAAAAAATACACTTCATATAATAAATAGCAGGCTTGATGAAGCCAAGGAATGAATTAATACCTGGAAGACAGAGTAATACAAAGTAACCAAGTTGAGCAAAGGAAAGAAAAGAATATAAATTGAGAATAGTATTAGGGAACTCAGCAACTCTAACAAGCCTATCAAGCACAGTAACATCCACATTACAGGGACCTCAGAAGAAGAGAGAGGCAGAAAATTTATTTGAAGAAATAATAACTGAAAACTTCCCTAATGTGGGGAAGGTAACAGATATCCAGATCCAGGAGGCAGAGAGATCCTCCAGAAAATTCAACCCAAGGAGGTCCACACCAAGACACATAGCAATTAAAATGGCAAAAAGTAGGGATAAAGGAAAAACATTTAAAGCAAGAGAAAAGAAGACAGTTACATACAAGGAAAATCCCTTAAGGCTACAAGTGAATTTTTCAGCAGCAACTTCGCAGGCCAGAAGGGAGTGGCATGATACATTCAAAGAGGTCAAAGGGAAAACTCCGTAGCCAAGAATGCTCTATCCAGTAAGGATATAATTCAGAATAGAAAGAGAGATAAAGACTTCCTACAAAAAACAGACCACTAAACCAGCCCTATAAGAAATTTTAAAGAGGACTCTTTGAGTGAAAAAGAAAGACCATAAGTGAGAGTATGAAAAGTAAAAAGCACAAAAGCAGTAAAAATAAATATTTCTGTAAAAATCATTGAAGAGATTCAAGAAATAAAAGGATGTGAAATATGACACTATACACCTAAAAGGTGGGAGGAAGAGGAGTAAAGAATGAGTTTAAACTTAAACAACCATCAACTTAATATAGATTGCTATATGCAGAAGATGTTATATACAAACCTAATGGTAACCACAAATCAAAACCCAGTAATAAATATACAAAGATTAAAGAGAACGGGATCCAAACATATCACTAAAGAAAGCCAATGAACCTTGTCCCTATAAATAGCAAGAGAAGAATCAGAAAATCTATAGAAACAACCACAAAACAAGTAACAAAATGGCATAAACACATATCTATTAATAATTACTTTGAATGTAAATGAACTAAATACTCCAATCAAAAGACACAGTGTGACAGAGTGGATATACAAATAAGACCCATGTATATGCTACTTACAAGAGACTCACTTCAGACCAAAAGACACCTGCATATTGAAAGTGAGGGGACAGAAAAACATTTATCATGCAAATGGATGCCAAAAAAAGCCAGAGTAGCAATATTTATATTGGACAAAATAGACTTAAAACAAAGACCACAAGAGACAAACAAAGACACTATGTAATAATGAAGGGGTCAATCCAACAAGAAGATACAACAACTCTAAATATTTATGCCCCAACATGGGAGTACCCAAATACATAAAACAGTTAACAACAAATATAAAGGAACTAAACAAGACTAATACAATAATGGCGATAGGGGCGCCTGGGTGGCTCAGTTGGTTAAGCGACTGCCTTCGGCTCAGGTCATGATCCTGGAGTCCCGGGATCGAGTCCCGCATCGGGCTTCCTGCTCGGCAGGGAGTCTGCTTCTCCCTCTGACCCTCCTCCCTCTCATGCTGTCTCTCATTCTCTCTCTCTCAAATAAATAAATAAAATCTTAAAAAAAAAAAACAATAATGGCGATAGTAGGGGGCTTTAACGCCCTACTTGCATCAATGGACAGATCATCCAAACAGAAAATCAACAAGGAAACAGTGGCTTTGAATGACACACTGGACCAGGTGGATTTAAGACATATTCAGAACATTCCATACTAAAAGAGCAGAATACACATTAAAGTGCACACTGGACATTTTCCAGAATAGATCACATATGAGGCTACAAAAAAACTCTGAACAAATTCAAAAAAATCAAAATCATACCATGCATCTTTTCTGACCACAATGCTATAAAACTAGAAATTACAAGAAAAAATCTGGAAAGAGCACAAATACATGGACATTAAATAAACATGCTATTAAACAATGAATGGGTCAAACCAAGAAATCAAAAATTACATGGAAACCAAAGAAAAGGAAAACACAATGGTCTAAAATCTTTGGGATTTTAGACGCCATTTAGGTGCCTGGGTGGCTCAGTTGGTTGAGCGTAGGACTCCTGACTTCAGTTCAGGTCATGGTCTCAGGGTCACTGGATCAAGCCCTGAGTCAGGCTTCATGCTCGCCAGAGAGTCTGAGATTCTCTCTCTTCCTCTCTCTCTCCCCCACTTCACCCCTGCTCACACACACTCTCTCTCTAAATAAAGAAATTAAATCTTTCAAAAAAAAATAAAATAAAATCTTTGGGATGCAGCAGAAGTATTTCTAAGAGAAAAGTTTATAGCAATACTGGCCTACCTCAAGAAGCAAGAAAAATCTCAAGTAAATGACCTAACCTTACACCTAAAGGAGGTAGAAAAAGAACAAACCCAAACCCAGGAAAAGGAAGGAAATAAAAATTAGACCAGAAATAAATGATATAGAAACTAGAAAAAAAAAAAAACAACAGAACAGATCCATGAATCTAGGAGCCAGTTCTATGACAATATCAACAAAACTGATAAATCCCTCAAGGCTCATTACAGGGAAAAAAAAAAGAGAGAGAGGACCCAAATAAACAAAATTACTAATGAAAGAGGAGAAATAACAACCAACACCACAGAAGTACAATCAATTTTAACAATATTATGAAAACTTCTATGCCAAAAAATTGGACAGCTTAGAAAAAAATAGATAAATTCCTGGAAATATATAACCTGCTAAAACTAAAGCAGGAAGAAACAGAAAATCTGAACAGCCAGCAATGAAATTGAATCAAAAAGTAGTAGCTAAAAAACCAAAGTCCAGGGCGCCTGGGTGGCTCAGTTGGTCAAGCCACTGCCTTCGGCTCAGGTCATGATCCTGGAGTCCCGGGATCGAGTCCCGCATTGGGCTCCCTGCTCGGCAGGGAGTCTGCTTCTCCCTCTGACCCTCCCCCCTCTCATGTGCTTTCTCTCTCTCATTCTCTCTCTCTCAAATAAATAAATAAAATCTTTTAAAAAATAAATAAATAAATAAAATAAAAAATAAAAATAAAAAACCAAAGTCCAGAATAAACCATCCTTTTGCACCAAAGATGTCTCAAGAATTCTTGGTTGTTGGCTCCGGACCTCACCCCACCAAATTTCACCTATATTCCAAAACCCTATCAAGAAGAGAAGCCCCTGGACTTAACACCACCCACTCCAGATTTCCCCACCAGTATCTCTCCACTTAGTGCGAGACTCCGTCCCTACGATGACTTCACATCAACAGATGATTCTTACCACCCACAGAGAT